CAGCCTGGCCATGCTCCGGCCATCCGGCCGGGGGCAGGTTCTGGCATCAAGGCCCACCATCACCCAGGGCCTCGGAGCCTCTCCCAACAGCCAGCTCCTTACCTGACCTCTGACCTTTCCAGCCTCACTCCCTGGAGAGCTGCAGACCCTGCTCCAAGAGGCCGAGGAAATGAAGTGGCCCTTCGTCCCCGAGAGGTGGCAGTACACACAGGCCCCCAGCCCGGAGGACAGAGCCAGCCTGCAGGACGCCGTGGGGCCCCAGCTGCAGCAGCTCCTGGTAGGTGGCCACCCTGCCTTCCGCCTGAGCAGGCGCCTGCTCACCCGGCAGCCCCACCAGACCAGCTACTGTGGGGCGAACTGACCTGGTGCTACCTGCCTGTGGGGTCCCGTGCTGGGAACCCGCGTCTGCTGCCAGGAGGGTGTCATGGGTGCCGCGGTGCCACAGGCCTCACTCAGAGTGTCCCATCTGAGGTTGGATAGCTTAGGACAGCGACTCCCCGCATGCCACAGCCACAGTCCCCACGGGACTTACTCCTTCACTGGGAGGTCCGCCTGCCCCTCCCGGCCCCCTGCAGTCCCCTTGCACCCCCTCTGCACACGAGAGGCCAGGAGGCCGCCTCGAAGCCATTTCTGCCTGTCCTACCACTCCTGGACACCCACGTGGCCGAGCCCGCGTCCGGGGAGCCCAGTGGGCTGAGGCGCAGGGTGCCAGCAGCAGGCCTCAGTGCTTCCCCCTGGCACGAATGAAGGGCAGGGTTTTTAGTTTTCCGGGTTTTTGATTTTTACAGAAGAAACATGCTTGCTGGAGAAAAACAGAGAGAAGCAGGAAGCGGCCCTCCTGGGCTCGGGCACATGTGACACGTGCCTGTGTGTTTTTCAAGCACTGGGTCCAGGGCTCGAACCGCACATAAATGCTGTGGGATCCGGCCACCTTAACCACCAGGCATGGGCTGGTCATCCCCTCTATCCCTTCTTAGTCTCTGAGTGGTCAGCCACGTGGGGTGACAGCCACCATCTTACTGGCTCACGGTTCAGTTTAAGTAGTACTGTAGTGAATGCGGATCCCCATGCCAGGCTCCTCCGGCCTCAGCCCCCATGGGGATTGCAGGTGCACACGTCGGGCCCAGCACAGGGGTGGGACGGGAACCCACAGGCGCCCATGCCTCCACGGAGCGCACAGAACTCCGAGCTCTGGACAGGCCACCCCAGGGCTGGACACCCAAAGGCGGGCTAAAAGATTCGAGGCTCCCCCGGGAGTCAGCACTGGTGGGCCCCGTGTGGGAGCCCCTCCGCAGTGCACTGACCTCAAGGCAGGGCAGAGGCAGTCTAAGCAGCAGCTGGGCCCCTGGGCGGCCGCTCCGAGGCTCTCTCTGGCCTTGTCCAATCAGTGAGCTGAGCCAAGCAGCCCCTCCGAAGTCAGCTAGGCTGCGCCCCACTTCCGCGGCAGGCCCGGCGTGTGGCCTGGTGTGTGGCCTGGCGTGAGGCCCGGCATGTGACC